TCATACTTTCATTCATTCCTGAATGATCCAACTTGAAACCTTTGTGATTTATCGTATTTATGAATGACATTGACGAAAATAGATATAGTTCCAAACTCACGTACGCCAATGACACGAACATTCTTCCACATCCAAACAAATATCTAAATTGTTTCAGAAAAGGACAACATTTATCATACTTTCATTCATTCCTGAATGATCCAACTTGAAACCTTTGTGATTTATCGTATTTATGAATGACATTGACGAAAATAGATATAGTTCCAAACTCACGTACGCCAATGACACGAACATTCTTCCACATCCAAACAAATATCTAAATTGTTTCAGAAAAGGACAACAATAGGAAAAGTAAAAAATTAATGTCAGAATATATTACATATTAACCTTCATAAGAGAACATACTTCGTTGATATTCGACTACAGCATAGAATCAAAGTTTGCACTTATTAAACCATAAGAAATCTCTATGTTACTGTTCCTCATAACCTAATCAGCACAAAGGAGCAGTATTGACCAGCTGGATCCAAAGACTAGCGAATGTTACTTTGTCTGTTGCGAATTTCAATAAACAACTGAATTTACAGATTGCGATTAACAATTGTCATGACTACAGGCTGATTCACGGTGGATGGCACATTAGACGTTTCTGGTGAACCAGACAACGGATCACTTTGAAAATTCAATGGAGGGCATATTCGGACATTCTCTAGCCAAATAAAATATTTTCGACAATGCGGTGTTGCCGCTTCTATTAGAAAGCAGNATACAGAGTGTTCCATTTGAAAAATCAAAGTTGCTACCGCTTTCTAATAGAAGCGGCAACACCGCATTGTCGAAAATATTTTAGTTGGCTAGAGAATGTCCGAATATGCCCTCCATTGAATTTTCAAAGTGATCCGTTGTCTGGTTCACCAGAAACGTCTAATGTACCATCCACCGTGAATCAGCCTGTATACAGTCAAGCCATTATTAAAATTTACCCGGTTCATGTGGTAGATGACATTATTGATGCTATTGATGAAAATAAAGTGGGTGTATTGATTGTGCTCGACTACTAAAAGGCATTCGATTTAATAAATCATAATATGCCTCTTTTAATGTTACATTATTTGGGTGTATGTTAATGACTTAATACTTACATAATAGAACACAGTTGGTGAAACTGGATGATAAAGAGTCGACTTGTTGGAAGGTAGTTTCAGGAGTCTCTCAGGGGAGCATCTTTGGGCTACTTTCATTCACACTATATAGGTACTTCAAATTTTGTGAATGATTTAAGATATTGTAGCTATCATCTTTACGCGGACGATACTCGCGGACGAGTTATCGATAGAATTTCTGTATCTGTAGAGTAGGGAGGGTGAGTTTAAACCCACAGCACTTAGGCCACATGTGACCCATTGTACATCCTCCCGAGGAGTTGTCCTCCTAGATCATCGTCCACCCTGTCCTTTCCAGGAAGGTGGACAGGTCACTGGGAGGCATCTCTTTTATATCGGCAGGTGTAGGCCAAGACTCGCCGAACACACACTCTCTCATTGACGATAACTCCGGACAGTCGCACAGGACATACCTGACAGTCTCATCTTCCTGTTTACGCATCCTGCAAATAAGTGTGTCCACTAGTCCCATATTATAGAGGTGTTTCCTTAGTTGACAGTGGCCAGTTAGAAATCCTACTGTTGAGCGTAGATTTTTCCTGGTCATCGCCAGAAATTTTCATCGGCATCAGCTTCCCAGGGTCGCCCAAGGTGATCCTGGCAAGATTGCATCTTTTGATTCCATTCCATCTCTTTAGGGATTGAGCATGGATGTAACATTTGGCTGGTTCCGCAATTGTCGAACTCATCAGGCCGTAGGTGCTACTGAGTCCTAAAATTCTTAGTCCAGCCGCTTCCTTGGCTAAAGAGTCGGCAATGCGATTACCTTTACTCCTGTCGTGCCCTTCAACCCACCTCAGGATAATGTTATTATCTACCGAATCTTTGGCTAAGTCTTGGTGACACTCTAGTACTGGCTCTGAGATGGTAGAGCTCATCGATGATGAAATTTCAACTAATCATGCTCTGAAGATAAATCCATTAGGGTCTCGGGCGCCTCGCGGCAGGCCCTGCACCTTGTGTCAGGAGCCTCTATAACCATCACGCGACTGCGGTAGACTAAGGTGTTGAAGATACCATCCTGGCAAACCATGATGAACCCCTCAGTTTCCGACTTCAGTCCACTCGACCTGAGGAAACCAAAAGTCAGGCGCTTTGATAAGCGCGATAATAAAAATATTAATAATAAAATTTTTTGGTGATACACTTCCACATGGGGTATCTCCAAAAGAACGAAATATATTATTTCAGTTCTGCAAATTTTGGTGGTATAGTTTAATTTCTTCGTTTTCTATGAGTTGCTGTTGGTTATATTTCGAATAAGGTTATTTTTCTGGTATTAGGCTATGGTTCATTGCTATTTCCTGCTATTTCCTGATGTTATGCCTTTCTGTGTAGTCTGTTCCAACTAAAGTTTCCCTTCTGTTCGTTATATAATCTATTGTAACTGTGTGTTGATGACATTCTCTACAATTGTCTGTTGAGTTGGTTGAGCTTTCCGTTATGTATTTTTTGAAGTTTATCAATTACAGGAATTTATAACAGGTCTACGAAAGAAAAGTTTTGCTTCCCGATACGGGTGGACAATGTCCCCACCCTTAGCTTCACAAATTATATCAATTTTGAAAATTCTTATGGGTAGAGACGGTACAAATGAAGGAGTGGAAAGAATCGAAAGACTAGCTAGAAATACCCAATACTTTAGACAACGTCTCCAACAAATGGGCGTCGTTATATATGGAAACCAAGACTCACCCATCGTTCCGATTTTGGGTTATCACTATTCAAAAATTGCGTGAGTAATTTGTGTTTATCTGCAAACATTTATTGATTATTCTGTTCTATTTTTTTCTGTCAGCATGTGATTCAGATTGCTCACTTCACTATATAGTGAAAATCATACAATAAACTCTATTGATTAGTTTTTTAATATGAATTTTCATCAAGTATCGGCCAGTTCTATTAAATTAAGTACAAAGTGTAAGTTTATTGTGAAGAATATCAAAGGTTCTCATTTGTATAAGCTTAGTGTCTCTCACATCAAACTAAACAGATCAAACCAATTGTCGTATTCGACATTCTGTGAAATCTGTAAACTAGATGTGACAGAATAAAGTGTGTTACCTAATTACCTACGTCGCATTATTCGATAGTATACAGTCCACTAGAAGGGGGCCAGCAAGCCCAAAAACCAAAATTATGACCCAACAACTAGAATTTTCATCAGTTATCTAATTTCATGAAAAGAAGCCCCTTGTCACTGCTAAAAAACACACCTAGTTTCATCAAAATCGGCGTAAAGACTTTTGAGTTATCAATAAAAGATTGATATTTTTAATAAAACTTTGTCACCCCGTTACTATAATAATAATAATATAATAATAA